TTTACGCCCGAGGCAAGAACAAAAAAGTGTGATGTCACCCTGCGCCGTGCACGCGTGGTGTCATGTGATGCCATGCGCCCGGGATTTTTTAAAAATGTCTTATTTTTTATTTATTTTGTAGTATTTTTATTTTATATTATTTTTTATTTATTTTTAATTTTAACTTTTTTACTGTTGGGGGGCTTCGGGGTAATATTAGGGTCTAAACAGCCCCCTGATATTTCCCTTTTAAAATAGAAAAAGAAATTGAGGATACAGAGTCCTCAATCTCTTTTCCTGCAGCATCTGTTCTAAATGGACAGTACATCGGCTTTCCATTCATTGAGAAAATATTTACTATCACCAGTTTATGAATGGAAGAATCCTCTTTAGAGAGTGCTACTCCCCATTGAGAAACTCATGAATGAACAACTGATCGCTCCAGTGTTTGCTCTGCACACAGAGGATTGGTACATATTACTGGTATGTACCGATTCTCTGCCGCTCGGTCACGCACAGAGTCGGCTCAGCCTGCAACTTTTCTTCTGGATCCCCGCTGCTCTCCCCATCTGTATGCAGCGGGGATCTGAGGAGAGGTGAAGTACTTCAGCCGCTGGAGGCTGGCGGTGTGGGTGGTGGAGGAGGGAGCCGCTGTCACAGCAGGATGGCCGAGCGGTGAGGAAAGAGAGAGCCGCTGGCTGTCAGATCCTGGCTGAGCCAAGCGGCGGAGGATGGATACATATCAGTAATATACACTGAGTGGCCAGATTATCATGACCACCCCATCAGTACTTCGTTGGGCCACGAGATGACTCCACAAGATGACTTTGTTGGGCCGCCTCGAGACTCCACGAGATGTTGAAAGGTGATGCGAGGAATCTAACACTGCACTGTTGCCCTTCTGTTGTCTTGTACCAGTCTTGCCACTCTCCGTTCTGCCCTAACATTGACTAGTCGCTGACGGCCACACTTCACACGTTTAGACCCAGATTTTCAGCTGACAGTCCAGTCTTTAAACATTTTAACAACAGCTGCTCTTGAACATTTAACGAATTCTGCTGTTTTGCTGATACTCGCTCCATGGCTTGAGCACCAACAATCATCCCACGTTTAAAGGCTGTTAAATCGTGTTGTTTACCCATATCTTCAGAAAAAATCACTTCTTCTGTCATGGTAAACAACCTGCTTTCCTATTTATAATGGTCTGGCCCTCTAGCAACTTCAGCGCGAAATTATAGCTAATTATAGCTAATTTGCCTACAAACGTCAGGCGGTTATAATAATCTGGCC